CCCCCGCGCCCCGCGCCCCCCCCCCCGCCCGCCCCCCCCCCCCGCCCCCCCCCCCCCCCCCCCCCCCCCCCCCCCCCCCCCCCGCAATGGATTGATTGCCCCCGATTGCCTACAGAAAGATTATGGGGCAAAAAAGAGTCGACCTTCCATCTTGAGTAGGTATTTACTAGTCGGCCGGAGGACCGAACACTTGCATTTACCTATTGATGCGGCCCATTATCGGCCGCCGAAGCGGGGGCAGGAGCGAGTAAGTGAATTGGTGAGTGCAGTTGCATCTATGCCGGTTTCTTCTCGACATAGTCCTCTTGAGGAAGTTCGGCAGAATGTAACCTAGGTTAGATAGGAGTAGCCGGCCATGCTGGGGTTCTTGGATAAGATGAGCAATCCCGGTAAAATAAAAGGTAACGTTGAATACTTTTTAGATAGCCAAATATTTGGTGTTGCGTCTATCTGTACCCACCGGAGTTCTACATATCTTTTTGTTGTATCAGGTATCAGCCATACCGAATCGTTCAAACCTAGGGTTGAACGTTTTGGGGCGTTTGATGTAATCTGTGGTGGTTATCAGGAGGCGGCGCCCTCTTTTTCTTTTCCTGTAATCGGCGCCAGCGCGCAGGGCTTCTGATAGAAAGAAATTTCGCCATACAAGGTAAAAGGATTTATTGCACTTTGAAACCCATTGGCTGAGTTGCAGCGGCGGTCCAGATCTCGAGGTGCCGAGAACGTATTGATAATGAAGTGTGATCCGGTGTAAGATGGGGTCGATCTGTTCAACGTCTTAATTCAAAAGGAAAAGGGGTTATTAGTGACTACCTTGGCGGCCCAGATCTACGGGTCTGTTAGGGGTACCTGTATCTGTAATCGAGTGGGCAGTTCAAACAGAAGAAGCGAAATGAGTTGTGCGACATTGGCCTCCTGGCACCGCGTCGCATCCCACGATGTTACCTGTCTCTCCATTCGATAAGTTGCCGCCGTTTCAAGATGAGGTTAATAAGCTCTGTCAGTCATCAGTGACGGCCCCATATGAGCTAGAACACAGAACCGTCAAGTTTGGCGGCCAGGCGTCAGATAGATTTGTGTGGTGATACAATGCAACGCTGCAGGCGAGTGCACATCCTTTCTGTGGCGCCCCAAAGTTACACGCACTTTCCACTTCTTCAAATGCCATTCTAAAACGGTTTTGCGACTTTAAGCAAGAGTGGGAAATAGGGCATCTCCGCCTGAAGGGGCCGTTCACAAATGCGACAGACTGACCTAGAACCTGCAAAGACTATCGCCGCAATGACCTGCGACCTCACAATGGTTTCAGGTTCGCTCCATCCCCCTGTGTAACGATCTGGTTTTGTCTCCAGAAATACTCGTAGTAGGAGAGCTCGCCGTCTTACTACCTCTGGGATAACCAAGTAGATTAGCATAGGCAGGCGTGGGACGAGATGAAAGCGCGGTCCTTTTCTGCCTACTCTAGACAACCTACACGTGAGTACAGAGATACTTTGCACTGTACTTTGTTCGTGATATTAAGAGGCGTCCGGAATGCAGCCGATCCTCCAATTGTCCGACGCCTTGCATGTCGCCTTTAATAAAGGGAACAAGTGTCTCGTCTCCGCGGGGAAAAGCCTCTTATTGTCGTCAGCCTTATTGAAAACAAATTAGAAAACAAACAAAGTGCAAGTAAAACGGGTTTGAAGGTCTCTCGGGGATTGATGTCGCCGCCCTCAAGTGGCTTTGGCCGTGGCGTTTGTTAGTCCGCAATTCGGTAGCTAATCAACCGATGGTAGCTGCGAGAAACTGCTGCAATGACACCCGCGGAATACAGAAGGGCTCAGCAGGGTTATCGGCGGAGGGGTGCCTAGTCAACTATCGCAAGATGAGGCAGTTCGACACGGGACCAAATCTGCAGGTTCGTGAGTGACCCAGGGCCCCTGTCCTAGAGCTGATTGATGTATCGTTTGTAGTGGGGGCCTGCGCGAGTACTTTTTTGCCAAACGAGACCGAGACAATGGGCACATCATCCCCTCTCGGCTGCGCCCGGGTTATTAGGCAGGCTGTGTGTACGTTTACAATACCGTAAGTACCTTCGTGTAGGTAGGAAAGCAGTCTCGGTCCACTGCGAAATCTTCGTTTTTCTTCCCGTTACCATATGACATCTTCCTTCCTCTCATCATTTGAAGTTTATCCTCAATATGACCTAGACGACTATAATAAGCATATGTGACGTTGTACGACAGGGGGCATAGCCATAAAGATGCTATTGATTACTGCCCTTCTAGGCAACGCGCGTCTAAATGAC